GAAGACTAATGATGTTCCAACCTGCTTTTCTTTCGTGGAACAATCCCAATCCTTCCACTCTTTCAGATGGTCTCATGTTTTCTAAAACACTTAGCACTCATTTCTCTCCTCTGGACTTTATCCATTTGTTTCTTGTTTTTCTTGTATTGCAGCACCCAAAGCCATACACAACATTGCAGGGGGATCGTTAGCACTGCAGAGTCTAGCTATCAGCTCCTATCATGCTGAAGGAAGTTGTATTTATTCACCAGGACCTCGTATCTGTCTCTTCGGATCCAAAGATCCATTACTCCTTCTTCCCAACAAAGCCTACTGCAAGGGAATCCTTTCACGGACTACTGACTTCAGTTAACAAGCTTGTATTGCTCACAAATGCTCATCGTCACCGAAGGCCAGGCACAAGGCAGACCAAAAAAAGACAGTCCTTACGTCTGCAAGGAATGTGGATCCATTAAATACCGGAAAAACACCTGAGGAAGTGCATCAATTTTCAACAAATTCACAGAACCCATAAAGACATCCTGAGGATGGGGATATGGTAGTGAGGTAGACGATGCCAGCAGAAGAGTAGTGCCCAATGCGTCTTTTTAGAGGAGATTCCGAAGCACCCATAGCAGACTGCACTGATTTTGTCAGAACTCAAAAAGCCGTATCAGCCACTAGACGACATCATAAGACTTTGAAGATTTATGATGCCTATCTGATTCAGAGAGCTGAACCACAGCGAGATGAGCACAGGCCCGGAGATGTCCCCCTTGTTCAGTTCTGGGAAGAACTGAAATCTTCCTTCTCTGGGCAGCGGCTACTTTCCACTGACCCAGGGAAACCAAAGATGAGGCCATAAAAGATTTTGAGAAGCCTGCAATAGCTTGCAAGGAGGAGATCTGCTGGCTCCTATGTTTCTGTCCCCCATCACCACAGACCTAACTGCAATTGTCTACAAGCCAGCTGGTTGCTTTTGAGGGAAGAATTCACACTGCTACTGACTCTTTCTTCAGAAAAAGTGTGAAATATGTACAACCTTAAAAGGGTCTCCCTAGAAGACATCATTTGGGTGTTGAAGGCTGGGTTTGAATCTGTGGTTTATAGATAGGATCCACTGAGTTGCATGCATGGTTACTTTTCCAAAAATAAAAGGTAACCCTTTTTAAAGAGTTTTAAAGAACACAATTTGAAGTTTGAAAGGCCTTTAGCAAGTAATTTTTTTGAAGTAAATCCACCTGAACATGTGGAAAAAAAACATGTGTCTTTAGAAATAAGAAGTTTGTTACGTGCTTTTGATTATGACTTTTCCCTTCAAACATCAGACACACAGGACACCTTGTTCTCAGCACACAATATTTAGGCCATACAAATTTGTCATTTTTAGTTATATAGTCATTTTTATGACTTGTTCTGAGAGCTGAGATCATTTACCCTTCCCCCTCATTCCTACATTAAAAAAAAAAAAAAAATCTTAAAAATGGTTCCTCTGAGGCACAGCTTTGGGAACAACAGCTGTCAGGCTGAGACACTTCCACCCCACGGTGTCCAAGAACTAGCTTGTTTCTTTCCCAGATGAAATTAAGTCTTCCTCTGCCGAATGCCAATTTGGCGAAGACCAAAAATGGCAAAAGGGAGCAGTCAGACCGCGCTCTCAGTTTCCCTTGGTACTCTACCAAAAAATCCTCATAACCGGCAATAAAAAAATCTCATCCTCTCGCTGGATGCCAAATTCTTTCTCCTGTTTCATATTCCACAGCTGTGCTTGCAGGGCAGGAGGAAAAGGAAGCGTACATAACACAGCTTATTCCCAAGAGCATAGATCTGGTCTCCTGAAAAGGGAAGCTGAGCTGGAACGCTGTAAGGTCCTGTTTCCAGCCCTTAACGACAGAAGTTGTGGCTACCCCAGCGCCCTGCCCTCATCAGACTGCCACCCCATCCCTGGGAGTGTTCAAGGCCAGGCTGGATGAGGCTTTGAGCAACCTGGTCTAGTGGAAGGTGTCCCTGCCCATGGCAGGGGGGTTGCAACTAGATGGTCTTTAAGGTCCCTTCCAATCCAAACCATTATGTGATTCTATGATTCCATGACTTCTTAGAGAGCTGGGAAAGCAGCTCTTCAAGCTGCTTTTTAGTAACAGAGAGAAAATGAAACATCACAAATCTATAATGAGTGGAAATGCTGGGATCCTGCTTATCTTCATGGCTGAAGTACTGTTGCTATGTTTGCTAGCCAGAAAAATGGACTATGATTAAGTATTACCAGTTGAGATACTTTTACAAACCCTAGAACATATACCATACGATCTCCTGTTTTAAGGAAAAAGAGATAGGAAATACTGAAAGGCCAACCATATCCTGGGCTTTATCAGAAGAAGTGTGGCCAGCAGGTCGAGGGAGGTGATTCTGCCCCTGTACTCTGCTCTGGTGAGACCCCACCTGGAGTGCTGCGTCCAGCTGTGGAGCCCTCAACATCAGAAGGATATAGACTGGTTGGAGCGAGTCCAGAGGAGGCCACGAAGATGCTCAGAGGGCTGGAGCAGCTCTGCTATGGGGACAGGCTGAGAGAGTTGGGCTTGTTCAGCCTGGAGAAGAGAAGGCGCCGGGAAGACTTTATAGCCCCTTCCAGTACCTGAAGGGGCTACAAGGAAGCTGGGGGGGACTTTTTACAGGGCCTGTAGTGACAGGACAAGGGGCAATGGGGTTCAATTGAAAGAGGTGGGGAGCCACTGGAACAGGTTGCCCAGAGAAGCTGTGGATGCCCCATCCCTGGAAGTGCTCAAGGCCAGGCTGGATGAGGCTTTGAGCAACCTGGTCTAGTGGAAGGTGTCCCTGCCCATGGCAGGGGGGGTGGAACTAGATGGTCTTTAAGGTCCCTTTCAACCCCAACCATTCCATGATTCTATGATTGAATGTCAATAACATTTTGCATTGATTGTTTACATGGGATGTGAATTACCATAACCTGGATGTTTGTTATGAGGGTGATTCAGAACAAAGATTATAATAGCAATATATAAAGCCTTAAATATTGCATTTCTCATGAACCATGATTTGTACATAAGAACTGCTCTAGAAGTGGGGTTTTAAAAGTACTCCACATCAGTCTTATTCAGCCATTTGACTCTAAAAAGCATAATAACCCAGTTTATTAGATTACTGGGCCCACTATCACTGCTGCTGGCAGCGGCTGTCATCACTCCTCGTCAGCAGCTTCCCTTATTCCTTTCCCACTGAAAGGGGGGCACCGCCAGCGTGAATAGCAGATCTGTTTAACCGGAACTGCTCTGACTAATGGCATGACCTTAAATTTCACCCTGAATACTGACTTGAGTTTTTGAAAAGCATCAAAATGCAATTCACGTCCATCTGCCAAAGCCGACCCACTTGCGCAGACGTCATGAAGCAGAAACAGTATTTCGCTGCTTTTCTGACTGTCATCGCTGTCGGAAGGAGAGAAACAGCTTTGCCTCCCACTCCCACAGAGCACAGGTTAAATCCCTTCCGTGCAGAGTGAGATAGACGCTGTTCACTGCTAAGATTTTGAAAACTGATACTATTTTCCCCAAATTTCTAGAAGAGTAATGACGACAGGTTTAACAATGGTGGATATTTTCCTAAAGCAGCATCAGCTGCTGAGAAAGGAGACACTTTGGAACAGTCTTCTAGGAGGCTGAGTCGTATCTTGAAAAAAACACTGGACGTGTGAAATTTCCAAGTATACTATTCTCTATCAAGTCTTTGTTTTCTGTCCAGATTCTTTAGCCTTTCTTGTTACTGTAAGCAGTATGACTAAGCATGAATATGTTAAAGGAAATCCTAGAGACCACGGCCTTTTGGGGTTGGCACATGGTAAATGCTTGGGAGCACAGAGTCTTCTTTCAGTAGATGCAACAATTGAAGAAGAAAGGGAGGGAAGCCCCAAAACATGAGGAATGAGAACCTAATTTTGACTGGAAGTAGTTTAATTTAAATTAGCAAGAAATGGCTTACGGCACTGAAGCATTTGTCCATTAAACTTTCAAAAAATAAAACCTGTAATCAAGTATTAGCAGTTCCTTTATGTCATTTTTTCCTCACCTCATCTTAAAAAGCTAGCAAACAAGAAGAGGGGAAGAATTTCTGCAGCACATCCTAAAATCTGAACTATTCATTCTGGACTAAAAGATTAGGAAGTGGTAAAATTCATGTTTCTCAATACACAGCATAACAGAAATCACATGTTAACACGGCCAGTCTTCCAAATATCCCTGCACAGAGCGCCAGGAAAAAACCAATCCCTCTCCTACACTTAAGGGGAAGAAAAGGTGAGAGCAAAGATCTTGTCTGAGAGGTGTAATCTCAGCTGCTAGCAAGGCTATGGCTGTGGGGAGTTCAAAAGGACCTTCTTTTAAGAGATGGGGGCTCCTTTTCCTTGCCAGGAACAGGCTTCTCGAAGCTTTGTAGGTGCACTGCCCCGCGCCGCAGCAGGCGGTACGGAGCGCGGACGGCTCTAGTGCAGGAGAAACGGAGCCTTTGTAGAAGAGCAACCGTTTGGGCTATATGAAAAGGGACACAGAGTCCCAGCAGCACGGGGTGGCTGCGGCTGGGAGGTCAAATGTTGTAGCCCCCCTACTCAAGCACAGTCACCCGGAGCTGGTTGCCCAGGAACATGCTGAGAATGGATTTCTTTTTTTAACCTGTAATGAGCAAAAAATTGAAACAGAAGAATACTTGTACATACACGTACCTGTATACACACATGGAAAAGTATACAGGAGCTACAGTGGGGGATTTACTTGAAAGTATACTGATTTCAATGTAAATACACCACTGAGTAACGGAGAGGTGATATCCTGAATATAGTGGAAGAAAAAATATACTTCACATAATCCTACAGTGTATGTCTTAGTAAGATTTCTAAAATTATTTTTAAAATCCCAATGTCCGTTTCATCAGGAAGCAAATGTCACTTCATATTATGGAAGAGTTTTTCTACATAATATCAGAATTTGAGATATATGACACCAAAATCTGAGCTATTACATCTCATTCAACTTTGCGTTTTTCAAATTCTGGATCAGGGAATGGATTGGAAGCCCCATGCCCATCACAACCACAGCAACAGCCACCAAATCTTTACAATTTGATTTCAAGAACTGCGATTTCCAAGTTCCGAATGTATCATTTCCCATGTTACTGTTAAAAAGAATTAAATCTTTAAAAGGAGAAGACGTGTGACAGAGAAATTCTGATTTCTGAGGCCTGCACTGACTTCATGTGAAATTGGTCCTAATGTAACTTCCACATATAATTTTCCTAATTATTCAAATGTTTCAGCATATATTTTAAATCAAACCACACACGTAAGATGGAATAGTAATGTTAGATTACATGTACTCTACATTTTTATTTCAGGTCTATTTCTTTTCATAAAATTTTGATGCAATTAAACAGCCCAGCTGTTAAAAAACCTGATGACATGTAAGGTCATAATGGATACTGAAGTTAATGCCAATCCAGTGCAATCTCTCTGTGTAAATGTTTTTGTTGGCATAAAAAGAGGCTCTGTGTCCATAACGGGGGAAAAGCATGGCAACTGTGGGCACAATGAAATACAGCTATAACAGCAGAATAAGAAGTGTTCTACTGCATAGAGGAACACTTATTTTATGTAGATTGGCTCATACTGCAGAAGTTTCTTATTGTCAATTGAGACAATTTTAAAGTGCAGGGGTAAAGAAAAAAATCAAAACAATTGATATGATTGAAATAAGTGACCTGCATGGAGGCAGGAAGGCTAGAGAAATTTATGTCACTATTTCAAATTTATTTTTATGCACATACTACAACCAGCTACCAGGTGACAAGCACTGAGACACCCACATAAAACAAATGCAGGTCCTGTGTCCGACGTGCAAACTTGCCTTAAGCCAGTGACTCTGTTTGAGTAGCATTCAAATTGATAGGAGAAGGGGCAATGGCTTTCAAATGAAAAAGGGTAGATTTAGTTAGATAGAAGGAAGAAATTCTTCACAGAGAGGGTGGTGAGGCACTGGAACAGGTTGCCCAGAGAAGCTGTGGATGCCCCATCCCTGGAAGTGTTCAAGGCCAGGCTGGATGAGGCTTTGAGCAACCTGGTCTAGTGCAAGGTGTCCCTGCCCATGGCAGGGGGGTTGGAACTAGATGGTCTTTAAGGTCCCTTCCAACCCAACCCATTCTATGATTCCATGATCCTATAAAAGACATGCCAAAACCAAGATGGGTGTGGAACAGGAGCTCTACAGCACCCTGCTCTTCCCCAGCCGGGTTTGGTGAGGGGCAGGCAGGTACAGCCCAAGCCGATCCCAAACATGGGCAGGATTTCAGACGCTGCAATCCTAGACTTGTACCTAGGACTTCTTCTTTAACCGATCTTAAGAGATTTGTTCAACATCTCCCCCCAGCAGGGAATAAGTTTGTTTTTCTAAAGGGATTTTCAATCTCCTAAACCGTGAATCCTAACCCTGCCTCCTTCCAGGGGTGATCAAGCAGAAAGCATCTTCCACCCTAATACATAGCTTTGGCAACACAAGCCCCAGTTCCTCTTCTGGCAGTGGTCCTTTCCCAGGCAGGGGTTGGAGAGAAAAAAACACCACCACATTTCATATTTTAAAGTAAATTCCACTCTATCTGTATGACTCCTCTCTCCTAAATATACGAGCAAAGCTAGCAACCTGATCTAGTTCAGGTATTTCTAAATATTGTGAGGCTTAGCATTACAGTACTAATTAACATTTTTTCCATATAGGAAATTATGATGTAAAGAAGCCCAATTTTTGGAAATGCTGATAGTTCGAGAGAACCAAATAAAAGTAATTGCTTTGAACCCAAGGCTTTCACTGATACTCATTTCCAAAAATCATATTCTGCACGTTTCAGAGAGGAGAAAAAAGAAGCAGTAAGCTGATTTGTGGTCAGAATAAAAACAAAGAAAAATTCACGGAAAAAAAAGTGAATATTTTCTGCCCAAAGCAACACTATTGCCATTGCGATTGTAAAAAGATATTTTTAAAATAATAATACGAAGAAATGATCATAATTGCAGAGGGAAAAAATTCACCACCCCTCCAAAACCCAAGATGCCTTCTAAATGATAAAATAAGAGCAATTTTATTATAGCAGTTGGTCTGAATCCTGTTCACCCTTGTTCCCAATTCCTTGAGGACTGACAGAGGACATAGAAAATGTTACATAGCTTTTCCCAAAGTAAAGGATGTCACTGTGCTGTAGCAAGGATGGAGACAAAACTGTTCCCAGAAATTCTTCAATACGTCTATATGTGACCCTTAATGGCCAGTCTTTAGTGGTTTGTAAGATCAGTGTTTTGGCAGACACTTTTTTCCAAATGTTCTGCAACGGCATCGGTCAGGGGCACGCTGACACCCCACAAATAGCTGTGAGCTAACAGAAGGCAACTGCGTCTGTCTAAGTTACCACTTGCAAATGGGTGTTCAGCTGGCCATATCTTCTTTACCTTTTACAGTGTCTGTCAGGAGTCAGGATCGTATATTAGTTTTTTTTTAGATTTGAGGCACTTAAAGGTCCACAGTGCATCACCAAGATATATAGGAATCCTTTGTCTGGATGTCCTACGGCAGTGAAAAAAGCCTCAAGCCCTTCCATGAACAATATTAAGCATTTCTTTTGTTCACTGAAGTAGCTTTAGCTTAAAAAACATTTGGACTAGGAGAAACTGTGTTTACAATACCATGTAAGCACTGTCTTCAGAAGATGACAGCAAATCAGATGCAACGTTGAGTTGGTTTGCTCTTATTGGCCTGAGGCTCCTTGTCAGCTTTACTGCTCTAGGGATAGAAAATAACAACGTGCATACAGAGAAGGCCGCTCTTTCAAGTAGCCTGGAAAAAACCATGTCATTTAGAAACTGAAAAACTCTAAGGATTGCTAAAGAAGTTAGCACCATCTATCCTCATCAAAGTTGTCAGGTGAAAGATCCTTAGGGTTTATAAAGCTGGAATAGAGAGAGGGAGAAAAGATCACTGGATCTATATTTGGGCTGTTCTTATTCCATTGCCATGTGATTGGAGAAGATGACATCCTAAAAAAAAAGGATACTGAAGGTATTTACGGGGCTATGATGACAAATGACAGAGATCAAAGCAAACTAAATGCATCTGCCTTCACCTCTTGGAAGCATTAAGAATGGGGATCAACCAAAAGTCTCAGAGGACTTCTATCAAGTCCTCTATTATATCAAAGGACCCTAAACCACAAATTAGATTGCTGAAACTGAGTAAATTGAAAGACTGCATGTGGCTGCACTTCTAAGACCAGTAAGTGCTACAGCAGCTCAGCCAGAAGCCAAATGGACACCTTCCAACATTTTTGAACATGAAGACACCTCCTTCCAAGCTGCATGAGAGAGAATGCAGCGGTTTTAAAATGCATCTAGAGACACAGAAGACTTTCTCAGCTTAATTTCCCCATATTTGGTACATTTTTGCTGAAAAGCTTCCATTTCTTTGAAAATACATTCTAACTGAGTTTCTTCCTGATTTGAGGTGAGGACCTTCGTCCTGCCAAGGAGAGAGAATTCCCTGGGGGAGCTGGGTCTCTAAACAACTAGGGAAACCTCCAGATGCTGTTTGACCTGCAGTTTTGGACTTTCGTAGCCATGGCTACACTCAGAACCCCCAGGGTAAGAAGCACCATGCTTTCTTACATTTCCTTTCTTACAAGGGGAAATGACATCTTATAATTAGCTTATTTCCCATCTGGGAGTTTGTCCTCCCTAATCTATTTCAGATGCAGGAGTAAAACTCAGCCAGACTTGTAACAGAAACATAGTTGATGTGGCTAGCCAAATCCCTAACACCAGAAATACGAGGGCTATTTGAATCCACCGCCCTGGATTCAATGGTCCCTGAAACAAGACCTAGGTCCCAAGAATTACTCAAGAATGACTTCTGGAAAGCTCCTATGCTTGGCTTAAAGTGTTAATGCAAATTGTTAGATGAGAAGACAGTTAAACTCCCATTTTTAATGCTGTCACTGCTGAGGACCTCCATCTACTCAAGGAACATGAGGGGATAAGAGGCAGGTAGGTGCCCAGGACCCTCCGTGGGTACCTCTTTCCAGCAGTGCACCTGACATCAGCCTTCTCGCATGGATGAGAGCCAGTGCACCTACTGCGCTAGAGAAAGTTATATTCCAGTACTCTTTTCCTGGCAGGAAACAAGGCAATGCAAGCAGCAGGATCTGCCAGTTCAGCCCTGCTTGTCGGTCTTCTCGGGAGGGAAGTGACCAGAGGCCTGTCCAGATTGAGCACTGGGGGAATCCCCCTTGATGATGTTTCCCATCCTAGATCATTTCCTTTTGCCAGCTGCTACAAATGATTCAGATGGGAAAGCGGAGTCAGGGGGATAATTTCCCTCTAAAATTGAATGCAGCCCTGAAACTGCAAGGAAAATCAGAAGGATATTTAACTGAGTTGTCAGTTTAAGAACTGAAATACAGTTTGACATTTACCAAGCAAGGTTTGTTGCATGGGAGGAACAGTGGAGCAGTTGTCACTGCAGTGACAAAAAAAAAAGAGAAGAGGGAAGTACAGTTCAGGCTTGAGCTCTGACATTTGCCCAAAGATCTGAAGTTAATAATTTATACAGGAAAGCCATTCACACACTAAACTACGAAAAAAAGAACCGTGAAGAGGGAACATCTAAAATAAGGCATGAGGCATAAATGAGAAGGGATGGTTAAGAGCAAAGACAGCTCACCAGAAACCCATGCTGAGGAAACCCAAGGCAAAATGTGACCTGTACTGAGCATCTTCAAATATCACAGGAAAGCCGTTACTTTCTTTTTCCTTCTAGTACATCAATTAAGACTTATTTTTCTGACTTGTGACCTCACAAGAGTGAAGAGAAGAGAGTCTCTTACCTTGAATGTCATCATTGAAAGTGCAATACTTGTTACGGTACTTATGCAGGAGGTGGAATGCATTAGCATTAGCAAAATCCTCAAACTGAATGAGGCAGTTCATGCCATACCTAGAAAGACAACAAATTGTGCATTACATTAAAAATAATACATAATTGTATATTAAAAAGCAATTAACATTGGCAGTCAGATTCTGAACACAAGTATAATACGATTTATGCGCCTATTACTACGTCTCTGTTGTAAACTGCATCATTACATTTACATAAATTATCTAGAAGGCATAATTAGACTACTAATAGCTTTACTAAGTTCTAAGTTAAGAATAAAAGATCAGGGGAAAAGGCCTTCATGTCTTCGCAGACAACCCAACAGAAGTCTTCGCTGAGCCATCAGCTAGTGGGGGGAAAAAAAAAAATCGGTCCCTTAAGTATGGTAGTAAAAAGGTAACACACTCAGAACACGGATTTTATTTTATTGCCATTATGCAGGTCAGCAGCGTGACGTGATTCACAATGCAATGCTCAGCCATTCTTCTTATAAAAGAGGTACTGATCAGAAAGAGTTCATTTAGACCAATGGTAAACATGTGAGAACCCTTTAAGGAACGAAACTGATAGCTGTCAAATTGAATCGAGTTACACTTGGCTATCATACACTAAAACTGGCACAGGTTGCCCAGAGAAGCTGTGGATGCCCCATCCCTGGAAGTGTTCAAGGCCAGGCTGGATGAGGCTTTGAGCAACCTGGTCTAGTGGAAGGTGTCCCTGCCCATGGCAGGGAGGTTAGAACTAGATGGTCTTTAAGGTCCCTGCCAACCCAAACCATTCTGTGATTCTATGATAAAACTTTGGGTACATGCAGAAACGAGGTCATCTACATTTCTTACATCTACTGTTTCACTGGACTGTCAAAACTGATCGTGTGATATGAATACTAGAAGTTTCTTAGAGAGTATGCTAAGAATCAATGTGATCATCCATTTCAATGTTTTCTCATCCCTAATGAAACAATCCAAATTGACATTTGAGATCTCTATATACTATATTTTGAAAATAGAGTAACCAGTGGCATCAGATGAACCATTTCTAACATTTAGCTGATAGACTGTCAGACAGAAGTCAGTTCAACAGCACGAGTAAGTAACTTTTGATGAACCTTGTAGCAACAGTTTCAAAGTTAATGTCAAGCACTCCATTCCTTGTAAATAATTCACTGTCTTACCTTGCTGTCTTGGACCCGCTGTGTGCCAAGGCTACGCTACCAACAGGCAGCCAGCAACGGCATAGGGAGGTGAATATGCTGACTTGAACAGGCATAAGGCACCTCAAATGCATCTAAAAATTATCGAAGAGAGGAACACAGGAGTTTGGGGTTCTTTTTAATGAGGAAACTCCAGACTCCTGGCACTGGACTCATATGACAATACCTAACAAGTAAAACACTGGCCTGGTGTGCCAAGAACATTTTCCCTAGAAGCAAAGTTAATAATAAGTTAAATTAACTGAGTATTACTACAATGCATCCTCCAGTCCTTCGATGCATTTCATAATAGTACTGCCTCTGGACTCCTTGCTTAGCATTCCCATATGGCATTTTAAAATGCTTTCTTAAAACAGAACCAGAAAAGGACCCACAAAACCCCTCAAAATAGCAAAGCCATTTCTAGACAAAAAACTGTGTAAAGACTCTATTCAGGCTCACAGCACACTGGCAACAGGGAAAAAACCCAAACCAAAACAATAACTTGAATACTGTCGATCTCATATGGGGCGGGGAGGGGGAAAGTAAACCATAAAAAGTGTAAAATATAACGTTAGTACTAGAACTGACTGTACAAATTTGGATCTGGAAATATCACATAAACATTATCCCACCCTGGAATAATATTACAAGAAGAGTTCTTTAAACTTAAATAAACCTAATGGCAATTTGCACAGACTAAGAAAGCATTTGATTAAAACTTTACAAAAATATTCCATTAAGGCGTTGCTTTGAAATGATTGCCACTAGGGTCTAACAGGGTGAGATCTCAAATGCACACGTCCTGCTGGAGCTAAAAGGAGGTTGTTCCTTATCTGCTAACAGCACAAATCCAAGTGAGACAGTCAAGCAGTTCCTGCTTCATCCAGAAAAACAGTACGTATGTATACTGAGCAGTTCAGTATAAATAATCCACTGTAATGTTAATTCAGATTTTCTTTAAACCATACATGTGTTTGGCAACCACGTTTAGCAAAGCCATCAGTATAAAAAAAAAAAAAAAAGAACAAAAATTCCTGTGACTAAATTAATTTCCATGGAAATCACATATTTACAGCATATTACAATTAGCCAAAACCACTGGGATTTCACTGGAAGGAATGGTAATCCCTGCTGAAAATAAATACATCTTCAGGTTTTACGGAAAAACCTGGATTTCTTCAGCAGCATAAGGATGGGCAACTGTTTAAAAGACAATTTGGCAAGTCGGTAATTCAGCACAGTAAATTGCAAGTTCAAGTAAGAAATCAGAGCTGCTTTTCAACAATTAATTTAAATTTCTAACCTGAATCACTCTCTGACATGAATTTCTGTGATTCCGTAAGGGTCCAGGAGCTGACAGTTGAATAATAACACGAAACTAATGAGATTAACATTCTGGAATCCTGGAGCTTGATTAGAAGTGTTTCTTGGATGTCATTAAGCCAACGTCTGTTTCTTTATTTTACCATATATAACATTCCATTTCCTCATCTGCATTTGATTTTTCTCCACTTTCTTACCCATTGCCCTTGTAGACATGCATAAAAATTCCCTGCAAATTATATTAAAACAGTGTCCCTGTAAAAAACACTCCTCCTATACTGGGCAAACTATCCACACTAATTCTCTGAGCAAGATATCATGGCTGTTTAATTAAAATGGAAAAAATGCAGGCAATCTAATCCTGGGCCTTGGAGATTTCTGTATTATAGCAGAAAAAATTCCAAGCAGCATTCTTATTCACTGCAAGTGTTATACATGTAACACAGGTAAAAACCTGAGACTTCAGTGCTGCCCATTAGCAGTCGTACCTCATAAGATTCATGCAGTTTGAGGTCTGTGTCCTCAAAAACGTCTAATCCAGTCTCCGGATCCCACGGATTTGGATCTAAATCCAGTCACTAGGTACCCACGATAGATAAGAAAATGATGCAGTGTTTCTCTGCTTTGAGTATTCCCATTCTCAACACCAGTAACAGATGAGGCATACAGATGAGGTAATACAAAATACTTAATCTCTGGCATTCCAGAAAATCCCCCTGCAATAACGAATTGGCTACAAAGGTGCCATGTGGTTCTGGAAGCAGTGACCGTACCAAAACAGCCATCAGTTCTTCTGTGACTTCCACATCTTACTATTGCAATCACAGCAGAAAGCTGAGCCAAAACCTAAAATGATATTCACAGCCAACACCTCAGTTCCACCTGTATCACTCTGCAATAACTTTCCACCCCTATCGCGCTCTGATGGATGGGGTTTAGGTTGTGGAAACGGTTGAAACAACCCTCAGGAAAGCAGGACATATCCTCTCTGCTCGCACCTCATGCCCTGTTCTCAGTTTGGAACAGCACCTCCTCATAGGTGAGTATGGTAGAAAAATGACTGCTGGATGAGAAGGGAACCAAGCACTTTGTCCACGTGCAGTTGTCGTATGCCATTGTGCCTTCCAAACCACTCAAATTCCAGCAACTGTGAGCTTACTGCAGCACTGTAATTCATATTGTCTCTCAGATATTAGGGAAGGAAAAAACAACACATACAGCTATCGTAAAACATGACCAGCTTAACATCTATCATCAATACTTCAAACAGATACAGCACGGATTGTCCCCACCGTTTTCCTCGGCTGACGCAGAGTGACACAGATAGGTCCAGAAGCAAGTAACTGAGATTTGCTACAAACAAAATCATCAGATTTAAAACCACCATTGAATGGTTGTGGTTGACTGTTACAGGGAGCATGTTAAAAGCAAAAGGCCTGCCATTGAGAGCCAGCAGCTCCAGGCAGGACAAGATTAGGAAACCAAGATCCTCAAACAATGAGCTGCCATGACAGAAAACACTGTATTTCTCAATATCTTAAAAGTAGTGGACTATATATCGTTAGAGTGTGAAATAAGGGTGTTAACCTGTGTACTGCTTATCTCAGTAGCTAAACCTGATCATCCTATACCTTAGGAGAATTTCACCTTCCTGTCTGAAATTTTAAGATACACACATCTAAAATGTAACCTAAAATCCTTTTAATTTGAACCTGTCACCAACAATCCAGGCACGGGTGCAAGCAGACACCGCATGCAGTTCCAGTGCTGCAAGTGTGAGTCACGTTACCCAACCGCACCTTACTGCTCGCCCAAAACAGAGACAGCGTTTCTCCAGCTATCGCTACCCAGGGATACAGAAGGGAGAAACACAGAACTAACACACATATGATTATTGACAGGTGGTAGAAATAAACCAAAGAGAGAACTTAGTGGGCATCATGTTCTTAACCAGAACATGTGAAGAAATGGCGGGTGTAGTCCTAGACTACCAAAACTAAGAGAATAAACAAAAATTTGGGAGAAATTCCTCCTCAGCATGCAACCATAACAAATGCCCTAGTGAATTCTGAACTGTTTTCTTGCTCTGGAAAACACTTCTCTGATAGCAATAGCTTGGCTTGAGTTGCCTGGCTAGGCCTGCTGGATTCTTGCAGGCAAGTGTTTTGTAGCTGTGAATTCCTCTCTTCTGCCTTTTTGGGACTTCACACTGTGGTAGCTGATTAAACACACATCACTCATCCCTAGAAAGTGATAATCCAGATCGCTGTTCCTGCCCATAAATCCTGTTTTGTCACCCATGTCTTTTTGTGTACTTGGATCCTAGTCTCCTGCATCAGGCTGTACAGGCAGTCTGAATCAGGATCCAACTGGACAGAAGTTCAAAGCCTTCTTTCCTTTTTCTGGTATGGACAGAAAATACAGACAAGATTGGTGGCAAGCACACAACATCAGATTTGTCATCAAGTATGGGAGGCAAACACTGGACAATGGATTAAAAAGAACTGTCCCACTGAATAATGTGTGGTTGCCAGAAAACACT